TGGTTCTGCTTCCCTGTTACATGTCAATCAAACTGTGGGAGGGGCTTGACATGGTCCAATTGGTTGATTTTGTTTAATATAATATGTTTTCACCTGAGCAACATTTTTGATGTACAATTCTTACAATGAGTGAAGCCATTTAAATGTAACTATAATAGCACTTTGGTTATTTGAGGTCTTCTCTTTTAGAAACTAGCAGCTATGATGCCACCATAATGTTTCAAATGTCTTACAAAAATCTGATTTAAAAATAAAATAAAGGCATTGATTTTACAAACCTATTACATCTCCTTTTTTTATCTAGTTTCTTTTTTTCCATCAGTTTGTGCATTACATCATAGTTCAATGTATTATTCATGTATGTAATATGTATCTAGAGTATATGCTTAATGAGGCAGCATGATATTATAATTATTTATTATCAAATTTGAATATGGCTGCAGAGATCTTTATGTATAACAACTCCATTCATAGCTGGATTCCTATCTATAGTTTTGGCTATTTATGATTTATTTTATGATGATTTAATTTTCTCTTTTAACGGGCTACATACGTGCTTCCTTTGAATGAAGTAGGTTTCTCACTGTTCTTGGAAATTTGGTTTTGCATTTCTCTTGTAGTGCCTCAAATAGATGCTAACTTCTCTATAAACATTGCTTATATCATTACTGAAATAAGAGCCATGAAAACTTGCTGAGCAAACCAGCCATGATTTATCAACTGTGACATTTTGACTATATCAAGTTAAACTAAACATGCTTCGTCTCTGTATAAAACACATTACAAGTGATAATGGTNAAAAGGTGCCACGGTGCAGAACAAACGGTGTCTCCAAAAGGTATTTGGACACTTAATAATGTATGAATTTCACTTCATTGCATTTGATAACAAAATATCAAAATGAGTAGAATTTGCAAACAAATGAAGCTAGACCACAGAAATGAATCCCATTAAGTGAGCCATGTCAGCTATGTTTGACAGCCGAAAAGTGTCTGAATACTATATTAATTTTGAACAGTAAAGCTATTGTTTTATAATTTAATATCTAACAATGTATTTATGTGCATTGTTTTGCTTTACAAGTGTGTTGTGTTATATTTATTTTTTTACGTTAATTTACTTTATTTAAAATGTTGCTATATAGAGCAATGACATTCATACATTTGTGTCAGCTTAAATCTCTGAATATTTTCAGGATCACTGTATTACACAAACTTTACCATATTTTACAAAACACACATATCGGTGTAAAATGATTGAGGACCATAAAATTACGCACTGAACTCCAGTTATTTGAGTCAGTTATTTTGGTGGGATTTCTGCATTTTGAAAGTCATGACCATGAGAGAAATGTGTTGTTACTCATGGAGAACTTAACTAAATAATCTATATAGAGTCTCTGAGCAGGTATGACACATGCACATTAAAGCGGGGAAAAGACTTGTTTTAGTCGTGCATGAATCGGTTAAGTGAATTATTCAAAGATTCACTTATAACACACAGGAAGACTCACTTGTCGTCTTGTCATCTACTGGCGTATGTAACCCCAAATAAAGGGTAATTGAACGAATCCTTTTGGTGACTATTCCAAAGATTCGAGTCACTTGGATAAATCAAAAAACCCAAACACACTGTCCTCTCCACCACATGACGGCGCCACCCTCCTCATTCGCCTGCACTTTCAGCACGCCCAGTCATTTCTTGGACCGTTCCCTTTCCAGTCGAGCCACACTTGCGCTAACCCTCTTTCTCCCTGGACCGTGAAATCCACTCCCACTCCACTCGAAGACCGTCGCGAGCACAAGGAAAGAAGCGTGCGACGCCATGGCGGACAGCGAGAGCGACACGGACGGCGCGGGCAGCAGCAGCAGCTCCGCCACCCCGCAGTCCTCCTGCACCTCGGCGGCCGCCTCCAACACCACTACGACCACAATGAACGCCGCCACCAAAGCACAGGGCGTCGTGATCTCCCAGTCCCGACTGGAGGAGCTGACAAACCGACTCGCGTCGCTGCAGCAGGAGAACAAAGTGCTGAAGATCGAGCTCGAGACGTTCAAGCTGAAGTGCAAAGCGCTGCAGGAGGAGAACCGCGACCTGCGCAAAGCGAGCGTCACCATCGTGAGTCAGCCCGTGTTTTTATTGCTTTAATCCCCGCGGCGCACCTGACAACACCGCCACGGCATGCGAAGAAGTCTGAGAAACATTACAAACCACATTGGGGTGCAATATTAACTTATTTGGGGGCAAAAAGAAGCGTTTGAGTCTATTTAGCTTGCTAGCATTCTAGCTAACTGTGAAAAGAACCAACAACAAAAGCCAGCACTTTAATAGCATTAGTGTTAATGTATATCACAGGCCATCTGCTTCAAAATAGTTTACATTTCTATGGACTATTAAAACCCACAATGAATGTGTCTTTGTACATGTTTATTATCTTAACTCCGGTGGGTTTGTGTACTGACCACATAAGGCGTTTACTGATTTACCACATGCTTTATCATCATGGTTTTAATGCAGGACGTGTTTTTGCACTTCTGATTCTTTGCGTTAAGCGAATGAGGTTGTCATTAGTAGTTTATATTTGAGGCCTGTGTCAGGGTGGGAAGTTGGCACTCTGAATATTTGGCTCTAATGCGTCAACATCCTGTATGTGAATCAGCCCTTCACTCAGACCATCTGCATTTAGACAAAGAGCCAGCACTCAAGTGTCACTGGAGAAACACTGACACTGATATCAAGTGCGTTTGCATTTACGACAATCTTTAATGATGGAAATCGATAGTGGCAGTGTGTTGTTTGTTGGTCGTGCAGTTGTTCACTGCGTGAAATGCATCTAATGCATGATGTTGACATTCATCTTTTGAGTAGTGCTGGTGGATTTGGAATGATTTTATAATGCATAATAGGATTTATGTGTCTCATTGTCAATAATTAGGTAATTAATGCCTAAATTCTTTTGTAATAGGAATTTGTGGTCAAATTTGATACTTTCAGAATCATGTTTTAAGATCAAACAATGTGATTGCTTGTTTACTGAAACGTATGGAAAGATTATGCCAGTTATTTTTCCAAAATATATCTGTAAGAATAGAGTGTTTTCCTGCAGCAAGCGCGGGCAGAACAAGAAGAGGAGTTCATCTCCAACACTTTATTTAAGAAGATTCAGGCTCTGCAAAAGGAGAAGGAGACGCTCGCCGTCAACTATGAGAAAGAAGAGGAGTTCCTCACCAATGACTTGTCCAGGAAGCTCATGCAGGTGAGAAACTCTAGAAGGAAAGAGCCCATCAGTGGCGTTTGAGGTCAGGGGTAGGAAACGTGATCACTTGCCCTTAGTATCATCCCTAAAGATAACTTTCAAGTTGACATACAGTATCTATGTCATTACAGATTTATTGTTCAACAGCTTTCTTATATAATGCTGATTTTGGTTGCTGTTAAAGGTAAGCATAAGCAAACAATGGTAGCTGATTATATCGTATGAGAGTTTGTTTTGTAGATGGTCACTGAATCTGGCTCCTCTGCTGAGACCAGATGACATTGTTTATGGTGCATGTGTTTAGTAGGTGTGCTGTATTGTGTGGAGGAGTAAGGAGAGATAGTGGGATTAGTGTGCGTACTAATGAGTCATGCCAACTATGTTTACACTACTGTTAAAATGTTTGGGGTCGGTAAGATTTTATAATGTTTTTGAAAGAAGACTTGTATGCTCTCCAAGGCTTGCCTCTATTTGATAGAAAAAAAAATACAGTGAAAATATTGAAATTAATACAATTTTAAATAACTTTTCCATTGTAATTTTAAAAAAATGTAATCTATACCTGTAATGGCAAAGCTGAATTTTCAGCAGTCATTACTCCAGTCTTCAGTGTTGCATGATCCTTAAGAAATCAATCTCATATGCTGATTTGGTGCTTAAGAAAACAGTGCTGTTGTGGAAATATTTTTTCATGATTCTTTAATGATTCTTTGAATAGAAAGTTGAAAGGAACAGCATTTATTCGAAATATAAATAATTAGTAACATTGTAAATGTCTGTACTGCATTTACTGCTTGATCAATTTTATGTGTTCTTGATGAATAAGTATTAATTTCTTTAAAAAAATTACTAACCCCAAACTTTTGAATGGTAGTGCTAAAAACAATATTAACAATTAAAATTTGGCCCTGTATGGCAGAGTTTTATACTAATAGTTAGCATTGTCTTTTATCCATCTACCATTGTCTCTTTCTCATTGATTATATTTCAGTCTTTTATAGCTTGCAAACATTTTTTTTCCATGATGTATTGAGTTTTGAACGTTGTTGCAAATTCATCTGGTTAAAATATGTTGCTATGGTAATGCAACACAAGCAAATATGCATGAGCATTTAAAATAGTTACCATGAAGAATGAATTATCATGTTATCGTTTGTAAGGACACGAGGGAAAAAAAATGTGGCACCAAAACGTCACTTTGAATCACAGCTCATT